CTGACGCTCAACCGTAGCCTTGGCCTCGTCAATTTCTCTCAGCTGGCGGTCTGTGCTTGACCCAGCCTCTGCAGTCTGTTGTAGTTTGCGCTCTAGATCTGCTCTGGCCTCTTCACTTTCTCTCAGCTGACGCTCAACTGCAGCCTTGGCTTCCTCACTTTCTTTCAGCTGACGCTCAACCGTAGCCTTGGCCTCTTCATACCTTTGCAACTGATGCAGTTCGCCTTGTTTTGGGGATTTTGCATCATATGAAGAAACATTTTCCTGGTTTCCTTGACCTTCCGCTCTTGTCTGAAATCCTCTACGTAACCCTTTTGGGCTCTGTACAGTTCTGTTTTCGTCATATACAGGTTCTCCTTGTGTTGCGGCATTTTTCCGTTCTGTTGCAACAGGACTATCTTTTTGTTGTCGTGCCCGTGCCGCTGCGTGTAGTAGTTGGCATTGTTCCTCTGTTAATACTATGTTACTTGTTCTTGGTGGTGCAGGACCAAAGTTGCATAAAACACTTGAGTGTAATATAATGCGTTGTTCGCGGTAACGACTATAGCGCCATGGTCGAGTGGTGAGCCATCGCATAACTACTGTGTAAGCCGTTGCATCCCCCGAACTTCCAGAGACACTTTGTCGTGCCTCATTAATAGTACGGCCGCTAACAGGAACCCCATTATCATCCAGAACCATGCTACTATTAATAGAGTGAACAGGACTAGCCTCATTATTACGCTCCACCTCATTGAAGCGTTCCCACATAATGTCAATATCATCAGCCAATGCAGTTATGGAAGCTTTTTCCTTCTCTAACTGGGCTTCCATCTTTTCAATTTCAGAGGATTCGTCTGTCTGAAGACGTTGCATTTCCTTATATTTCGTACTCGCATCCACTACTTGTACATGTGCTAGGACCCACCTATATAGATCTCCAATGGCTTGACTACCTTTAACCGCTTCCTGATATGTAAACTTTGGTGAACTTGTGTACCGTCGAATCACTTCATCACGATTAGTCGTGGTGACATTCTTTGGCTCAAAACTTACCAGTTGATGTAATAAGCTTGGTCTATGCAGTAACGGTTGCATCTCTGCCCATGTATGGCGTCTTTCACCTATAATCAACATCACTGCAGCCATCACACGTACTACAATATCTGGGGGTGTACGGTATGATACCAACTCACGCCATTGACGCATATCAATCTTCTTTACATCCTTGCGAACATCACCAAGTTCCTGATGTGCACGTTCCATCGCCTTCTCTACTTCTTGTTGTTTCGTTATAAAAGCAGCCCGTTTCTCTTGAATCTCTTCCTGACGTTTCTCCGAATCCTCTACACGTTTCGCATGTTCTTTCTGCATCTGCTGCAACTCATCAAGAATCTGTTGACCCTCTTCTGTACTAGCCACAATAACACCATCGCTGTCTTGAACGTCTTGTGTGAGTCGCTCCACCTGCACTGTGCGACTTGTTGTGCTTCCCACTACAACGGCCAGTTCGCATCGCCATGCTCGTGTCATGAGGTCTAGGAATTCATAGGCGATAAGATCTCCAATATAAAGAGATGGGAGGGAAAGCTGATGCTCCACATCATCACTAGGATCGAGTAAAGAAGAAACGTCCGTCATCTTCTAGTGATGTTCTAACCTCTTCCTTTTGTTTTTTCTTTTGTTGTTGTTGTTTCTTTTTTTTATATTCTAGTTTCACGATGTCGTTTCTACCAGGGTTGATTTTGTATTTTTTATTTCCTTCTTTTGGGAAGGGGGTGTGTATCGTTCTAATCTTTCTTTATTATCTTTTTTTCTTTTTTTTCTTTGGTGGTTTGCAATGATTCCGTTTGTTCCTGTTGTTTGGTTTAAATTGTCCTTTATGTTCTCGCTGCTTTCCTCTACCACAGCTATGGATGGGGCAGAATCACAAATGAAAGAATAAATAGAAAGAAGAAGAAATTGTTGTATTCATTACATACACCTCTCTTGTAACTATGCGATCATAATAAGCAACAGACTCATGCATATTTACATAAATCCAGAGTAAATAAAAAAAGAGAGAGTGAATTATATATAAATATATAAAAGGGAGAGAGAACATCTTTGCTGGAATGTGCATATTTTCATTTTTTTTTTTTTTAAGGGAAAAAAGAAGCCTGCCCATCTGTGTTTATGCGGAAGTTTTTGCATGTCCATAAGAATAAAAAAAAAAAAAAAAGGGATGAATTACCCATCATCATCATCATCATCATCAGCAGCAAATTCTTCTTCATTTCCCCATCACTCTCCAATCACAAGATAAAAAAAAAAAAAATTTACTCGAAATGTATTCTGTCCTTTTCTTCCTTCACTCTTTCACAGCGTTGCGGAAGAAAGAAAAAAACAAAAAACAAAAAGAAGGCAAATGACTATCCGCATTTCCCATCCGTCAGAGTCTTCTTTCTCTTCTTCTTCTTCTTCTTCTTCTTCCCTTTCATACAGATTGCCCAATAGACCGATCATATAACTGTGTGATGGCTTCCATCACTAGACGAATGCGGTACTTTAGACGCAGGGCTTCTTTACTCAATCGTGCTGCCCGTTCCCGCAGCATTTTTTCTTTCTTCTGTAGAAACACATTCGCCTCTGCGGTGGACATGGGGAGCACGACTCCACATCCGAGGTTTACCCATACCTGTGAAGCATCATGAACAGTACACTGAACGAAAAAATGATTACCAATATCAACCATAATGTGATTACGTTGTGGTACAGAAGAATTAGTAGTATTGGTAGTATTATTAGTATTAACACCGGCATTCGATGATGAGGATAAGGATGATGAAGATTTATTCGTAATAAAGGAATGTGTTGAGGAGAGCGCACGCATTTCCTCAAAGAGTTCACGTAATTGAATACACTGAGAGGCCATAGTGTTTACGGTATCTCGTTCCTGTAATACCTTATCAAGAGATTGACGCAGAACAGTATCGAGAAAGTGCTCTAATCGAATCATACTCCCTGTTGCGGGATCAAAACTAACAGGTGTGGAGCCGCTGTTGCTGCTGCTGGTATCTAATGTTGACATTTGCAGGAATATTACACACCACTAAACAATAACAACAATGAATCGGTTTTTTTTTTTCTTTTTTTTTTTTAGTCCTCTACAGCAGCAAGAGGATAATGATATCACCGTCCCCACTGAAAATTGAAAAAAAAAAAAAGAGAAAAAGAGAAAAATTGATAAAGAGATGATTGGTGTTAAACAATATTACACAAGAATAGAAACAAACATAGATACGTATGAAATATCACATTGGATAATATCCTTTATCCCATTCCATCTCATCCCCCAACCCTTCATTCTTTTTTTCTCTTTTTCTCTTTTTTTTGCCTGTACATATTCTTTGGTTATCACATATGTACTTTTATCGACTGATGGTTGTAAACATCTTGAGAGTAGATGCTGGCACCATTCGCTTCAATGACTCACGGTCATTAGGATCCGCCCACAACAAAACACCAAAAGGTTGATAATACTTCCATTTATGCCTCTTATTATTATCACTCGTCAAATATAGAGATTTACCAGCCAGTGTACCTTCTGCTAATAATGTCCTTAGAGTCATCCAAACCTCCAACGGTAATTGTATGGTTTCTGGCAATATCCACACATGACATGTTGGAGTTCTCTCAATAGCCGAAGAAGAAGATATTTTTCCACGCCCTCGCCAAACACGTTGAACCCCAAATAGACCACCATCACGTATTGTCAATCCACTATTTTTACGATTACCATTACTGCCATCATCTGCGATATCCTCTTCCATTTGGCGACGCAGTGCCTCCTCCACGGCTACAAGACTACTCTCTCCATTTATCTTTCTCGTACTCGTATTTAATTCTATCCCATCAAGGGGAATAGAGAACTCATGCAGTGAGAGACAGTTAGCGTACTTGAGACTCCACGGATCAAAGAAGGGAACCACACGTGAACGGGCCTCACGCCAATGAATACCAATAAATAAACTCTCACGACGAAGTGCAGTGCGAAGGGCATTATCGGCAAATATACCTGTTAGACATTCACAAGGTGAATTGCCTCTTCGTATGGTTGAGAAGGGACTTGGAAGGATATCCCCCTGCAGAAGAATAATAGCAATTAGGAGAATGACAACAGTCCATATCCCTGCAAAGCGTTCACACATCTATACAACTCTGAAGAAAAAAAGGGGATTTTTCTTCTTTCTCTTTTTGTTCCTGTTACTGAACGATAAGTATTAAATACTCGTATGATGGTGTAGTGGATCCAACACAACAGAATAACACAGAGAGAGAGAGAGAGAGAATAAGTAATTAAATAATAAGGAGCGAGAAGACTACGAGGGAGGTTGTTGTTATTGTTGTTGTGTGTCTAAAGAAGAAATACGCCACAAATTCTGTTCCCCTTTTTTCTTTTCTAATACTATACTGCATTACTATACATTGCGCATTTAATTTATTGCAAACAAAGAAGGAAAAAAAAGAAAGAAAGAAAGAGTGAAATGAACAGAAAAAATAATAGTAATAATAATAATAACCATACAAAAAGTATGGTCACAAGAACAAGAACAAAAAAGAAATATATATATATATATATATATATATATATGTTTATGTATACTTCACACAATCTGAATCAACCCTTTTTTTCTTTTCTTCTTCTTCTTCTTCTTCTTTCTCTCTTTTTTGTTTGTTTCCATCAGAAATCATCATTAATAACATGACGTTCCTCATCCCTTCTCTTCTTTCCCACAGAATCACCTAATGCACCACTAGTACCAGTTCCAGCCTCAACGGAATCCACATAGGATGGATCCAATCCATTCTCATCTCTGCCAGTATCAAGAATAATCTTCCCTGCCGTTGTGTCTAGACGGAAACGTGCCCAAACGGCCTGATCGTGTCCTTCTCTATCAAAGTATTGTAATAAGAGTGGCACTAATGTATCCTGCACAACTCGTCTAAGGGCATGTCCATTCTCTCTGCCTTCCCACGTATCTCGATAACGCTCTACAAGATACGCAACCGCCAATTCCTCAATTGTACTTGCCATTACTGTACCACCACCCCAATTGTTCAGACAGGCGAGAGCCGCAGCGGCTTTTCGCACCATCTCCTCTGCAGATTGTTGAGAGAGAGAGACAAACACCATTGTACGTGCAAAGGCAGGAACCAGAGTTCCATATAAACCAGCGAAATCCACACGTACCATCTGTTCTATTTCCACCACACTTTTCCCCCATGTTCGTCCTTGTTGACCAAAGTCTGTGGTAACGACAACGGTTAATTGGGCAAGAGATGGACCATTCTCTGGTTGTTCGTTAAATCGCTCAGCTCGACCAAATAATGGGGCTAAAGCAGCTACAAGTTTAGGATGCATGGCAGTGAGATCATCTATTAATATAATACCATGTGGATAATAACGTTGATGTGCAGTAATGCGCCTGACAATACTTTGTCGGGCTTCTGTAATATCTAATTCATCAAAGCTGGTTCCTGATATCACCAACATATTATCTCCCACATCACACTGAGGACGTGCTTGTGCACAACGTAAAGATAACGCCAAGGATAAAAGTCGTGCGGTGTGGGTTTTACCAACTCCATTATCGCCTGCAAAGTGAAGGACGAGTGGATCTCCTGGAGAAGCCATCTTTTGTCGAATAGCCTCTGCAATCGCATGTGTTACATGATCCTGTCCAACTACATGTGTGAAGAGAAGTTCCTCTACATTCTCCATAGCAATACGGCGGGCAGCATCACTGGTTGCAAATGGTAGTTCCTGTCGTATTTTAGCAAGAGGAATAGATGAGAAGAGACAGTACTTTAGTTTCGTCCATAATGGGGCATTGCCTTTGGAGCAGAAAGGAGAACTAGGACATTTCCATTCTCTTAACTGTGTTTCTGAGGAAAAATGTTTATCTTGTTCTTTTCCCTGCAATGCCAAGCAAGTCGGAAGAGCTAAGAGCACTACGACGAAGATAACAGCAATAATAATAGAAGAAGATCGCCGACTAAAGAATATCATGAGCCAAAAATATAAAAATGACCGTTAAAATGATGTATTCCCCACTTTTTTCTCTCTATCAATCCATCTATTCCTCTCTCTATCTGAGAGAGAGAAAGAAGGAGATAGATACGCAAAGAACGCTCCTTTATTTCTTTTTTTTTTTTATTTATTGGGTAGTATATTTACCCAAACTCTAGCGTCTTGTTATCCGTTAATTTCTGCCAGAGTATTGCAACTTCACTAAAGAAAATAAAAAAAAAAAAAGAAAACAGAAGAGAATGAAAGAAGAATCTAAACAGGAAAAAGTGTCCTACAGAAAAAATATATATTACAAAAAAACACACGTATATATAAAGAAAGAAAGAGAAAGATCTAACGAACGAGTTTGCAGTATTCACACTCTTACACCATGTTATCTTTTTTTTTTTTCTTCTGCTAAGAGAAAAAACAACAACAACAACAACAACCAAACAAACCAATAAAAAAAATCACTCCAGAGCAGCTTACACATACAGAGAGAGAGAGAGAGAGAGAGAGAGATAAAAAAAGAAATCCTCTTCTCCCCATTTCTTCCCCTTCTCCCTTCTCTCTCTCTCTCTCTCTCTCTCTGCACATTAACACATCAACATGTTTATATATATATATATATATATATATATAATGTGTTATTTTTACTCGTTTTTCTTTTTCTTTTTCTTTTTCTTTTACTTGGGTGGTCCCTGTGGTGGTCCAAAGTCGAGTCCAGCGGGGTTTGCGCTCTGTTCCGCATTCGCCATTCCCAACGCGGCCACTCCGCCGACATCATTCCAAACGCCGAGATTCGCATCTCGAGATCCAAATTTGGCCCGACCGCCTTTTCGCCGGGCGAGTTGCCCCCGCCGGAACCACACGGCCTGAGAAGTAACGGCATCCATAATGCGTTGTTGTTGCCGCGGCGGCACACCGCCATGCACACCGGCCGTGCGTGGATGAAAGATTGGCCGCCAAGTGGCATTATGATGTAAATACGTCCGTTCCAAATGGGCGGGAATTGTTTTTTGTGTGATGAGAGAAACATACGCACGGGCAATGGCATTTGTCTTGTGTGTACGCCATTCCGAATAACGTGGGGTCGTCATATGTGTTTTCCAATTACTCACCCCCTCCAGTGGGATATTCTTATGAAGAAAGGCCCGAACAGCAGAGACAATCACCCCTTGTTGTTTATTATATAAACTATACACACGACCAAGTCGTCCTTGACGTGCAGTACGGCCAGCACGACTCAAATAAACTAATGCATTTGTTGGCATATCAAAGTTAATCACGATATCCACATGCACATCTAAACCACGACTGGCGAGATCCGTCGCGCAGAGAATATTCGTACGGCCAGAGGCAAAATCTGCAAACATACGACTACGTACAGTGGTTGGTAAAGCTGCATGTAGTAAAGAACAGGCAAATCCCTTTCCACGTAAATGATGAAAGATGGCGGTTACGGAGTCAATACCACGTGCAAACACCATCACTCGTTTTCCTTCTCCAAACACCGTTCGGGGAATATGAGATGTAAAGGGAGCCGCAATTGTTTTTAAATGTTCCCAACGAACTGGACGCACTTGTTCCAAAGCACATCGTACCTCCTCACGTACACGTTCATCTTCACCAAGATTGGAGAAGCGTAAAAAAGAAGATGAAGGTGAAGAAGGTGATAAAGAAGTGGAGAGTGTGATCTCATTATTATTATTATTAGTATTTTTATTATTATTAACTGATGTTGCCATCTTTTCTTTTCTTTTCCCTTTATGCGTATGAAACTCTCCTTCTTCTTCTTTTTCATTATCCTTCATCCCTTCTTTACTACTATCACTATGACTAACACTATCATCATAATTATAGTAATGTCCTTGACGTTCTATTAATTCCTCCAATGTACCAGATAAATAATGTGGTTTTGTATGAACTTGTATTTCCTCCTCATCGGTATGAATAGGACGTGGTTGATTACCATGTTTCTTAAGTAGATGCTGAAGTACATCCATCTTTTCCTGTTCTCTTGCAACCGCAAAGAATCGATGATGAAGAGTTTCTGATGGGCGATGCATGCGATTCCGCTGCATACATGTAACCGCATCAGGATATCTTTTTCCCACAACAAATTCCAATTTACGTGTCATAAAAGAAGTAGCGAAAACAGTTTGAGTCTTTACAGGCCAAAGATGTTTAAACATAACTCGTTTTTGAATTTTCATAAGTAGATGAACCGCATCATGATCATGTTGAGAAGAAAGCATCGCATCTGCCTCATCTATAGCCACATAACGGATATCATCTAAAAAGAGTCGACGTGTTCGAATAAGTCTTAACAGGAGTTTGGGATCCATAATAACTACATCTGCCAAACTATGTTTAAGTAAACGACTTAAATGATGTTTGGCTCGTTTACGTGAAGTAAATGAAATAGAGTGTAATCCAGTAGCTGCATCTAATTTACTACAAACATATTGTAATTGGGCCACAAGTTCCTTTGTGGGAGCAAGTAAAAACATACGAGGTCGACGTTCACGTAAAGGAATTTTATAAACATCACGATCTTTCATCATATTTTGATATAATGGAAGTAAATAGGCTAATGTTTTACCTTCTCCATGTGGAGCTGCCACTACTGTATCTTTACGTTGTAAAATCACCTCAATAGCAGTTTGTTGAATAGGTGATGGAGTTGTGATGTGTAAACTCTCCGTTAGTACATTACGTAGTTCTGAACAGAGTAACATATCTTCAAAACTTGTTACTGTCTTTGTTTTAAGATTCTTTGAGAGAAGTGGGGATTTATCCATACGAGATGGTGAAAGACTCTGTAATACAAGATTGCCAATAAGGTGATCAGATCGTTCTCCAATAGATTGACTAAAGGTTCCTCCATATGCTTTCAATTGATGTGGAACAATAATTCCTCGCCTAGATGTAAAGAGAGCTGAACAGTGACAACTACAATTATTACTACTACTACTACTATTACTACTGCATGGAATAGTAACACCACTAACACCAGCAGCAATAACTGTAGTAGATCGTACAGAAACACTACGCATCACTGAAGGTACGAAACGTAAAGATTGCGAGACCATGAACACCTCTACACGATTCGCTTTATCTTCCCTTTCTTCCTTCTTATACTTCTTACTTTTTGTTTGTTTATTTGTATGTGTATGTATATATGCAAGAAGAAGTAAATTAAGAAAAAAAAGTAAAACAAATAAGAGATAATATATCATTAGCAACAATAAAAGAGAAAGGATGTTCTTAACCCTTTTAATACATATGCTCCTTTACGTCATGTATATATATATATATATACTTTTCTTTTCCTCCTTCGCTTTAATATCATCTCATATTCAATTTCTTCAAATTCTATCGTTATATATATATATAAATTAGACGGTTGTGAGGGCCTTTATTGCCATCTGCAGTGCCCCCTCGTACGTCTCATTTCCCCCAATAAACCCCGAGGCGTGCACAAACACACCGCCCGGCACTCCACTCGCCTCCTGCAGTTCCGCCCCGCGGAGTCCCCGCCACGGCAGCGGCCGCCGAAGGGCAAATCCCGCCGCGTCAACTCCCACCGCCTGCACGCGCCAACCCCCGCGGCCATCGGGGAAGAGAACATACAACACCCGCCCTTCACCCTTTACTTTTTCTTCTTCTCCTTCTTTTTCGTTTTTCTTCGCATTATTATTTCCAGCAGCCGTCACTAATGCGGCCTCCTCCTTCTCGAGATCCCGCAGGTGTTCCTTCCATGGGCAGCCGGCGGGGCCGGGGAGAACGACAATGCGGCCGCTGGGGTGAATGCGATACGAGTCGTGGAAGGCAGCCGCCACTCGGCGACGGGCCGGCAGCCACGCAAAGGTGTGGAAGTGCACACAGTGGAAGAACTCCGATGCGGCGAGAGAGACGGCCTGCAGAAATCCAGCATTGATGGCCGCATCATCATCGTGATTCTCTTCATTCCACCACGGGAGAAGATCACCCACACGATCCGAGAGTGTCGTCGTCACCCGGTACTTTTGCACACACGACGATTTAACCTTATTATTAGTATTATTATCATTATTAATATTAGCCGTAGAATCCGAATTCTCTGTGGCTTCCACATCTTCAGCAGGTCCATAGGCATTGATACCATTATCAATACCATCCACATGCTCCACAAAGTTACGATAGACCACATCAAAGAGTAAATCCAGTTCCTCCTCTGTCATGTTTTTCTTACTGGATCCCCAATCCCCTGAAGTGAGAAGTTGTTCACGGTAGGGTGAAGCCAATGCCGACTCCACATACGATTGAATAATCTCCCGTCCAAAATGTTTATACACAAGACCTGCAGATGAGAGTCGTGTGTGATAGGTGGCCTTTGGTGTAGTCATAGTCCCTTGAAAAGAGGGCTGATGATGGTCAAAACGCATTTTCTCTGGTTCATACACACCACCAACATCCACCACAACGTGACATTTTTCCAATTTACTCGCATCACGGGTGCGGAGAATATTCGCTGCGGCAAACTGTGAAGTGCACCGCAGCATTCCACATGCTAATGCCTCATCACAGTGGAATGTACCGTTGTGTGTCCCAATAACCGCAGTGGCTGCGGATCCAGTCTCTGTTAAGCTTTCCAACACAGCAACATTGCAAAGCTGCTTCGTTACGTACTCCGAAACGTATCTTCGAGACATGATGATTTCCCACTCACTCTTTTTTTTTTCTTTTTTTCGTTCTCTTCTTTTCTCTTGTTTTTTTTTCTTTTTAGTTCTTCTTTCTTTTCTGTGATTTCCTCCAAATATGAGTGAATGTCCTTTTTTTTTCCTAAAACAAAAATAAAAAGAACAAGTAAAATAGCAAAATCTCTCTTAAGAGGACTACCACACCGACTAAATTAATAAACACAATGAAATTACAACAAGAAAGGAAATAGATACCAACAAAAAAAATAAACATATATATATATATATATATATATATATTTCTATATATACATATCAACAATATAGTACGTGCTATATCACACACACACACAGTATTGTGGAAATTAAGTAAAACATTCTTTTGTTTTCCAGTTCTATGAACACAAATACGCACACCTATCGCAAAGCAATAGAAAGAAATAGAGAGAGTGAGAGAGTGAGAGATAGAGAGAAATAAAAAAGAAAATACTGAAAATGCTGCATACACACTTCGTTGTTTTCTCCCCATTCTTTCAAAACTTATTATTATTATTATTATTATTATTAATTTTCTTCATAGACTCCTCATATTCGTGTGCACGCATCCTTTTCTTGTTATTTTCTCTTTTTTCTACCCTCTTCACTCACTCACTCACTCACCCCATTCCTTCGTACTGCATACTCCCAGTATATTCACTCTATACCTCTCTCTCTCTCTCTCCTTATCTATTCACTCTCTTTCTCTTTCTCTCTACATGAATGCTGCCACTACATCTGTAAAGAGTGTCTCCAGTGCCTCTGAGACTCGCATGCCTGTACACGCGCTGGTCTCAAAGTATTTAAATCCATGTTCCTCCGCCCATCGCCGTCCCTCCGCCTCACTCACAACACGTCTTTTACCTTTCATTTGACTCCCACTGCTTCCCATATTATTATTACTATTACTATTGTTGTTAAAGCTGTTGCTATTATTCATTCCATCCACCGCATCATCTGCCTTATTTGCACACACCACCACTACCAATGATTTGGCTGCTGGACGTGCAATCACCGCATCTACACCCGTTACTCGTTGTTGTGGATGGGCGTACTTCTCCATTTCTTTTAGCCATCCATCAAGAGCCGCGAAACTAGCCGCGTCTGTGACATCATACACTAATAGGACGCCCTCTGCAGCGGCGTAGAATTCATTGCGGATCTCCAAATATTCCTCCGCTCCAGCCATATCCCAGAAGTTTACACGTACAGATATCTTTCCACCAACCGCAGTTGCTGTGGGGGCTTGGTGAGAGGAGGAGGAGGAGGAGGAGACTGTTGTTGGGGCCCGCACCTCCACCCGCTTAACTCCATAGTCAATACCAATGGTGGGGATGTATTTAGGCACAAAACGGCCTTCACAGTATCGTTTAATCACACAACTCTTTCCCACACCGGAGGAGCCTAATGAGATGATCTTTATACGCGGCTCCACACCATTCACGGCATTGGAAGAGGAGGAAATAGAAGTTTTCTTATTCATTATCTTATCTTTTAAATACACACAGACACACAGAGAGACACAGAGATAGATAGATAGATAGATAGATAGATAGAGATCTCTGTGTCGTTGGTGTGTCTATTATTGAAATGCAAATAACAATATAGAGCCAAAACAGAGAAAAGGAAAAAAAAAAAAACGGCAAAAGCAACAATAGTAGAATAAATATAACCAACGAAAAAAGTTTCATACAGAATCAAAATGTAAAATAAATAATAATAAAAACATAAATAAATAAAACACATACGAGAAAGAGAGAAAATTGATGTAAATAAGGGACATATATATATATATATATATATATATATTAAAGGAAAATAGAAATATATCTATATATAAAGAGAGAGAATTGTTTCTCAACACATCTATATTTCTTTAACACACACATATACAGACATAACCCCTCTTTATAGAGTTCACATAATTGTCTCTTTTTTTTCCTCTTTCAGTATCACTTTCTACATCTCTCAACAAATACAATCTATACACTGCAGTATTTCTGGAGATGTATACTGATGATAAAACTTCCATACAGTACAAAATAGACTTCCTTCGTCTGATCAAGACAAAGGGAAACAACAATAACAATAACAACAATCCCAAACCCAAACCACACTATTTATTAAAACAGTAGACGCTATTTATTTTGTTGTACTTTCTGAATGTATCGTTCCGCAAATCCATCATCATTTGGTTTTTCTAATCCTAATTGCTCTGCTCTCCAGCGTTCTCGTTCAATATCCTTCTCAATAGAAGAATGTCGTCGTTCCCGCTGTTTCTCCTCACTGTAGGAAACCCCAACGTACATGGCTATTGCAGCCACTATACTTCCAAAGAAAAGAGTTTTATCACGGCGACGACTCCAACCTACCCACGTAAGAGCACTTTGATCACCACAGAAAAGACGCGCATAGGAGTTCATTTACTCTTCCAGCTGCCTTTTTATTTTATTTTATTTTATTTTTTCTGTTTTTTTCTAATTATTAACACGTTATTTCCTTTTTTTTTCGTTTTTTTTTTTTTTATAACAAAAAAATACACACCAGTGTACGTATGTGAGTATGAGTGTGATTATATGGGTTTGATTCTATTTTCCTTCCTTTTTTTTTTTTCTTCTTCCTCACCGCAGGAAGGACCTTCGTTTCTTTCCCTTAAAGAAGAATAAAACAAGATATATATAGAAAGAGAAAAAAAAAAAAATTAGAAAGAGAAGAGTCACAGAAGAGAACAACAAGAACAAAAAGTCCCCAAAAAAGATGGAAACAACAATAAAATAAACACATCACCTATAAAACAGCAATAATAATAATAATAATAACAACAATTTGATTCTTTCTCCATGTTTTTTTTTCTTTTTTTTCTTCTCCTATCTGTACACGTATACACACACAAAAAAAAAAATGAATTTGTCAGAGAACTCACGCATATATATATATATATATATATATAAATGTATGTAGTGTTCTTCCCTCTCATTCCTTTTTTTTTTCCATTTTTCTTTCTATACATTAATGTGAGTTCAACTCGATACATACTATATATATATATATATAGTATGCAAATGCACATCAATACTTTGTTTATCTTGTGGTTGAGGTAGTGCCCCAAGACATACATCATACACACTAAAAATAAGAAACCACCAACGAAAACTAACATCCTCATACCACACGTTTGCCTGTGTGTAGTGGTCCTTCCAAGCCACGTGGAAAGTCAAAGTGATCAAACATAATATCCGAGTGCCGTAGTTTCCATGCACATTCCTTACGCCGTTCACAACTTGGCTTAAGACTCCCATCTTCTCTTGTCCCCCGACCGAACATGGTCTCTTGAAAACGACTCCAAACTTGCACAGGAAGATCCGCCTCACGTGGTCGCGGGGCATGCAGTTGTTTCATCCATTGCGATAATGTATCCTCATCCTCCTCATCCCCCACATGAAGGGCTGGGAGAAACGAAAGTGGCATCACATCTACCACGTCATTCATTGTATTCGTACTAGAAGTATTGGTGGTTTCCAATAACTCTTCTCCTTTAAAACGTGTATAAATACCGGATATTCTTTCTCTTCCTTTTCCTGTCAGCGTTGTAGATGTTGGGGGTCCTCCTGCAGGGGCCTCTGCGGTGTGTGTTACCCGTGGAGGATCAGAGAAGGTAATAGAGGCATACCGCCATCGATTCTGCGAGTGGGCAGCCGATCCCAACATGCCCAAACCCGATGGTGTTGTGTCTGGTGTTCCACTTCCCACACGAGCCGAACTATTTACATTCCAATGACTACGCCCCGCTGTGTTCATGGAAGAGGTTCGCGTGAGTGAGAAACCCAGCGGCGATGGCAGTCGTGTTTCCCGCCCCACCCGCGCTGCCAACACGCCTGTGGTGGACTCCCGCTGCAGTTCGCGATAGTCGCGGGCGAGTTGTGTGTAGGCGCGGCGCACTTCACTCGCCTCGCGGCGGTGGGCGTCGACTGTCGTTTCCCGCGGCGGCGGTGCGGGGTACAGAAGGGCGGCGTCCCGCTGCAGTTGCGCCTCCACCACTTTTTCCTCCGGCTGCAAATGCGGCTCGAAGGTGCCGTTCGCCGCCGCGCGGTTGGCGGCGTTGAGAAATAAATCCAACAACTCGTGCCGCACGGCGTCCCGCTGGCGCGTCGCGGCCGCATCGCGCAGTTGGGCGTCAATGCACTTCTGCACGGGCCGCTGTTGTGTGGACTCCCACGAGCGCCGCACCGCCACCGCCGAGCGATGGGCCGCGCGAGATGTGCTCGCCGTCACCGCCGCACAGTTCGCGAGCAGTCGCTGCTGTTGCTGCATAAATGTGTCGAGTCGACGGCGGAATAATTCATCTTCTCGCAACTCCGCCGCTGCGTCGGAGGCTGTGCCAACACGACGTCTACTTGCATGTAAAGAACGGTGTTGTTTGGAGGATGCGGTGGGAGGAGGTGGTGGTGGTAGGGAATGTAATAGTTGTTGTTGTTGCTGCTGCTGTAATTGTTGTTCCCGGGCAATGGTGCGGCTCCAGTCGGCGGCGTCCATTAATTGTGTGTAAAGAGCGGCGTTGTGCACACGAATACGAGAAGATGGTGCCGGCCGCAGCGAGACAGGCGATGACGCTCGTGTTTCCTCCGTTTCACTCATTTGAACAGATAAATAAAGT